AGAGAAATTTTTAAAAAATTCCCCTTTAAGCAACATTCACATCACTTAGTAGATTCAGAAAGATGGAACTCTCTCAGCACTCCAGATGCCAGAGACTCAGACAAACAACCCAAATACTGTGGGATCGGGATCTGTTTCAACGTAGTAGTGTATAATTCAGGAAAACCTGAAACAAAGACTGAAACAGCCACAGAATGCAAAAACAGAGCCAGTTTAAAGCAGAGCCTGGCCACTTCCCACTTCATTTCTCCCTTTCTATCAAAAAGAAAAGAAAAGAAAAGAAAAGAAAAGAAAAAAAAACTTGCAAAATGCTACGCGGTACCTGCCAACAAGTCCTCAGTGAATGGGGGTGAATGGAGCTAAAGAGCTAAAAACAAGTTTCTAACCATTTATACGTGATCCTCCTGTAACACTGGAAAGCAGAAGGATGTCCTCTAAAAATAGAAGAAAAATCATGTATATTCCCATTTTTTGCAGTAGGACGCTAGCAGTAATGCTACTGAGTGCTGATTGGTTAGCATTACTGCTACTGAGTGCTGATTGGTTAGCATTACTGCTACTGAGTGCTGATTGGTTAGCATTACTGCTACTGAGAGCTGATTGGTTAGCATTACTGCTACTGCGGGCTGCTTGGTTAGCATTGCTGCTACTGAGCACTGATTGGCTGCCATTACTGCTACTGAGTGCTGATTGGCTGCCATTACTGCTACTGAATGCTGATTGGTTGGCATTACTGCTACTGAATGCTGATTGGTTGGCATTACTGCTATGGAGAGCTGTCACTGGCTGCATGATTGAAGGTCAGCACAGAGCAGGGCTCAATGCCGTTTAACTTGTGCCACTAGCGTGTTTCAGTGCAGAGTATAAAACAGAAGCTCCATTCAAATAAATGTTTGAAGCATCCACAGAAACCTGTTCTGTAATAATGGAAACATGGCTTTTAGACCCAGGAAGGTCTGCGGTCACTAATCCCTCCTCCATTACAACGGTCACTGAAGGCCAGCTTTACCACAACGCTGGATTCATTACTGTCTGAAACTGAACATTTTTTCAACCCAGTGCACCATAAAAGGTGAGCAAAACGTGTTTTTCCACTATGCATACTAATGCTTTAGAATTCTGTCTGGCATTGCTACTGCAAAGCTGCGAGTGCACTACATTTTTCACACTTGTCAGGAGTGCAATTCTAGTGCAATGCAAACCTGGACAGACTGTTTCCTAAATTCCATCAACCGTTACTCCGACGACCAACGCCACTTCTGTTTGTTTAGGGTAAGTAAGTGTCACATTGTAGCGGGTGGTAACTTTCTATGAGGGAGCTTTTAGAGGTGGACGTCTGGTTCCTATCACCACCACTGTGAACAATTCTGACTTCTAAGTTTCTCTCGAACGAAGCATTTCACACCAAACCCCTCTGAACGACTTCCTTTACGTCTTAACCATTTAACCAAGCAGAACTTTCAAAAATCGGTGGAATTTCCCTTTATTGCTAAGTTTGCCCTAACAAGTGTTCCTTCATGAGTGCACTAGCTAGCGCGCAAATGGGAACACAACCCAAGTCAACTCGCTTCCTCCCTCCTCTTAGCCCTGCCCCTCTCTTCGCCATTCAAAAATACAACATTTACGAACATTTCCAAAGTCACGAGCCTGAACAGCAGGAGAGGGAAGGCTGTTCTGACTGTGTAGCACCACAAAAAAGGGAATAAGTACAGAGAGACAGAGATGACCGTTGCTTTTAAACGCCCTTCAGTTTCCTGCCTGAGCTGTGAATGTGACTCAACCATAACGACACGTAGCACAACACAGGCTTTAGCTGGCAATCGTGAAAGTGCACAGTAATATCTAATATTATCTAATAACATCTATTAATAAGAGCAGAAACAGCTGGCTTCCTATTCGCCAACCTCTTGCTCGAATTTTCCCGTTCCACCTTAAACGCTGCAGCAGTTACATTGTAACAATATAACTGCTGCACCATTTAAGGTGGAACGGGAAAATTCGAAGAAAAACACGCAGAAAAAAATGCAGAAAAAATTCGAAGAAGTCCTCTCACCGCTGAAGGTCGAAGGACGCTGCCGAGGCTGCTGCAAATGATGCTGTCCAGAGGAAGGGCAGCCCGTTGTTGAGGTCGAGCTCGCGCTGCTGCGGAAGTGCTCTCGAGGCTGAGACAGCTGCTGGAGCACGTAGCTCAGGGCAGAGCGGAGCAGTGAGGCTGATTAGTGCTGCAGTGCTGCTGCAAGAGCCCCCACGTCAAGACCACCGACTTAAATGCCCTTCTTTAGACTTTCCAAATGTGCATTATTAACAAGGCGTGACGTCAAGAGCCGCGTGCGCAAGCTCCGCAAATCCTCATTTGAGCGAGAGTATTGTGGTAATTAACTCTTTAATGTCCAGCATGTAAGAAAAATAGCACTGACCGTTTTCTTTTCCTGATTGGTTTAAAGTACATATTTGAATGTTTTGATTTTTTATAATCAAATGTTGATTGCTTAAGTATAGTCTCACGTGACCAACGATATTTAATATTGATGAGTTACATTTTTTCAGGCATGGTTTAGAAAAAACATCAAATTTGTGCTCAGGTAAGCTAAGACACCACGTATATATAAGATGTATGCATATATACATATACATATATATACACATATACATACATTTTTATATATATATATATATATATATATATATATATATATACACTATACACACACATATATATATATATATATATACACACACACATATATATATATATATATATACATATATATATATATATATATATATATATATATATATACTTAAGCTATATATATATATATATATATAGCAATTCACAAATTTTTTTTACCTTTTTTTGACAGTTTTACCATGTATAAAGACACGTGTAGGTTCACTGCTGGTTTTGGATAGTAAATATTTGTGTTGTAGTCATGGTGACCCCTGGTTCCTATCACCACCACTGTAAAAAAACCTGAGCCTATACATTTCTCTCCAAAAAACTTCACCTCAAACCACTCTGAATGACTTTACTTACACCTCAACTATTGAATTATGTATAACTTTGGAAAAAAGTGGAATTCTTTAATAATTAGAATAATGACTTTTAAATGTGGAACACCGACCTCATGTGGCCATCACATGTTACTACAAGTGTGCAAGGTGCCCTAAAACATGGCCATAACAGAGGTCTAAACTCTTTGGATTTCACTTGGATTTCACCTAGTGACAAACTACCACACACACAAAAGTCACTAAGGTTCTGTTTTATTTACTGTGCAGATACACAACAATTCAGAACTGATATAAAGGTGTCCTCAATGCATGTGGTGGTAGGCTCTCCAGTAACAGGCAAAACAAAACAAGACAAAACTGAACCGTTTCAGTCCAAGAGTAGAGTGCATTTCCAAGGCTTGATTGATTGTAGGACTCGTACAGTAACTGAATGTCACAGTCATTTTACAGTTTTACAACTAGTGCGACGTTGGGGTAGTTTCATGTATATGAAGACACATTCCTGAAATTCCTGTTGAACATGTAACAGCTCATTTGAAGGCTTGACAATGACACAAACATAAATATGAAACCTACTGACCATATTTTGACCTATTCCTATGCATTGAGAGTGCTTCCTCTCCTTGGCTCTGTTCTCATTTCTATAGATTCTGTATCAGATGTTACAGGAGAAGGAGGTACTGTGGTCAGTCTGCCTTCTCCTATTCAGCCTCTACAGAGATTTGTGCTCATGTAGACGACCAAAGCCTGTATGTATAGTGCTGTATAATGCTGGTCTAAGGTCAGCTCTCCCATGAGCCTAGATCAGCACCTTATTGTGTTTGTCGTCATACATATGAGGCCAGGAGAGGAAGCGAATAAGAGCTTGTTCTCCACAGCCATGCGTTCTAGAATTCGCAACACGAACAGGAGACGTTCCTATTGGACAATCCTATACAATTCTGTTGGCTTAAAGGGGAATTCCATAGATTTCTCAAAATCCCTGCATAATGAAATGGTTGAGCTATCAGAGTGGTTTGGTGTGAAATGCTTCATTCTAGACAAACTCAGTGAGTCAGATTGTTCACAGTGGTTGTGATAGGAACCAGACATCTGAAGTGTTTCTGCGACATTGAGTGCGTTTACATGCACTCAATAATCCATTTGTAATCGGATTTTTGCAGTTGTCTGATTATTCAAATGGTCATGTAAACAGCATACTCTGATTTCTTAGATCGGAGTAAGGTTAAGAAATCTGATTAAGAAATCCAATAAAGAGAGCTGGATTTTAGTTCAGTGATCAGATTTCTCAGTGCATGTAAACTCTCACTCTGATTTCTTTCGGATTTCTTAGTCTGCACATGTGGGAAAACAGACTGCAGTACTGAGAATAAACAAGCAGCGCTGCCGTAAGACGCAGCAAACCACTTTTGGAGCGACGCTGAAACTGACTACATGCTTGATGAAATGAAAGATTTAAATTTTCTTCGTCTGCTAGATGATGTATGTTCATATTTTCAGGTAAACTGACTTGATTACTGTCTGACTCATGTAGATGTGGAGTTTTCACATTATCTGATTACTGAAGTGCATGTAAACGTGTTGATCAAATTACTGGCAAACTCTGATTCTCTGCAGTTATTGGATTATTAAGTCCATGTAAACGCACTCATTGTTTTATGATAGTTTTGCAATAATCTTTTATGCAGGGTGAAAAGATACATGCAGGCAAAATAGTCCTCAAAAAAAAGTTTTTTTGTTTTTTCTTCAGATTTTCCACTATTTTACCATCATCAACATTCTACATAAAAACTCAGAAGACACGTGTAGGTTCACTGCTGGTTTTGGATAGTAAATAAAATGTCTATGTTTGTGTTGTAGTCATGGCGACCCCTGGTTCCTATCACCACCACTGTAAAGACATCTGAGTCTCTACAATCAACCATTTTCACACCAAACCACTCTGAATGTTTACATTTCAGCCATTAAAATATGCAGCGATTTTGACAAATCGCCAGAATTCCATCCAGCTTAGTCAGAAATCCTAATGTTTGTGAAATACACCCCTGGTTTTGGAGACAGGTACATATGTTTGTGTTCTCCAAACGATGCTCTACCCAACATCTTCTGACCATCCTTAAATCATCAGTAGCTCACAATACCTGGGAAACAGTGAGGAGGTGGATGAATGTGTAGTATGATGGGTAGAGAGATGTATACTTCTACATTAAGTTGATTCTAGAACCACCCAGTTCAGCTGTGGACTACAAGCTTGGAGAAGAAGGAGTTTGAGAAACAGACAGCGAGAGGACAGCGGAGTGCTTTTGGGTTTTGGGAGGGGGGGGCATCTCTCACAGACGTGCGTCTGGAGGTTCTGGAGCGTCTGGGTGGAGTTTTGGGTTCCTCTGTGGCTCTAGTCAAACCCCCAGGAAAGAGAGAGCGGTGTCCCTCTCCTCCACCAGCTCAGTTGCCGTGGCGTCCATCTTGGCTCTGGAGAAGTCATTGATGGCCAGACCATCTACAATCTTCCAGCTTTTATCCTGCAGGAGAAAGACTTCAGTAAGGCCCAATCCTATTTCACCCCTCGCCCCAACCACTTAGCCCTACCCCTCCATTTTGCGAGTTCACATCTAGGGGTAGCGTGTCCCGATTCTTGTTGAGATAGAGGGGTAGGGTGAAGTGTTAGAGCTACATGGCCCTCCAAACGGAGGTTTTTCAGAGACTCACTCCAAACAGAGTTATGAGAAAAAAGAAAAACCAGCAAGACGGCTGTACAAGAGACTAAAGAAACCCACAAATGTAAGTATTCTCTAATAAAAAGTTTCAATAATCATTGTATTATCTTAGTTTAATGTCGTTTCAATGTTTTTGGTTTTACTTTTTTTCTTATCAAGCATAAAATCGCTAGTAGTTCTGATGTCTCGGTAGCTAGCTAACTAAATTTCCCGTTCCACCTTAAATGGTCAAACTGCTGTACCATTTAAGGTGGAATGGTAAAATTCTGTGGGGGTGATGCCCGTAATCAAGTAGCAGTCCACCTTAAATGGTCAGAACTGCTGCACCATTTAAAGCCAGACATATACTGTGCTATTTTAGAAATCTTGTTCTTTGGTGACAGCTCACACTGCACGTTTGAATCGCCCCTCGTGTTTGGCCAAAGCCTGTGATTTATGTGCTCACCCTGTACGACAACACTCAGCCCGACTGACCTGACGCGACATGGGTGCTCACACTGCACGTGAAACGCAGCCTCTACAGACGCTCTGTCTACAGTAAAGCTGTTTCATTCAAAACAACACGCTGCGCCTCCGATGTCCTGATCAAAACAGTGGCTGAATCTCAAATAGCTTTTTTTGCTGGCGTGGTTTGGGTCCACTCGCTCCCTCAAAGGGAACAAATGAATACTAAGTTATTCTGACTAATCACCATTATCCTACGATAAAACATTCAAGTCCGACTTCACTTTACCTTAATGGTGACGGGGAAAGAGTAGATGAGGTCATCAGGAACGCCGTATGAGTTCCCAGAGGAGTAGACACCCATGGAGATAAACTCACCCTACACGGCCAAACAAACAACAAATACAGAATGAACAAATACAATAGATGCAAGTGCACAGAGGTGGGACACAATCTACAAAGAACTGGTCATTCTGGAAACTTTACAAAGCTTCCAAAAAGGAGGCACGGAGGTATTAAAGTGACCAGCAAATGTGGTTGTACAGTTAAGATGCTTGTTTCACTATGAATGGTTTTCCTTAATATATACAGTTTCAGATAAAGGTTTGTAATGTTTATACTGACCTAGGATCAAAAGGTAACCTTTAACCTTTAGAAAACAAACCACAGCTACATAAGATAAACTGATTTCAGATCAGCAATCCCTACACACAGTGTTAGTGAAGACCTCTGTGGGCTGACCTCAGGAGTGCCTGTCCAGATGTCCCTCATGTGGTCACAGATGGCCTTAGCTGCAGACATGGCGCTGGACAGCTTCCGGGCCTTAATGACCGCTGCTCCACGCTGCTGCACCGTCTGAGGACAGGCAACAGACAGAAAAATAAGCATTTAGTTCATGAAAAGAAAGAAAAAAGGGAAGAGTAAAGAAATGCTAGCTAATTCTGCTGGTTTGGTCTGTTGTAAGTGAATGGCTAGACTTCTCCTTTGCCAAATTTAATACCACTTTAATACCAATTTAATGCCAAACTGATGCCAATTTTGATTATGATAATTATCATTATTATTTAATCACCTAAGCTTACTACAAAACTAACTCACCTTGAAAAATACAGCGCTGTAAACATCCACCCTGCTAACGCAAATGTTCTGACTTTAAAGGGTGATATTTGTGAATGAAACTCACAGAGATGAAGTCTCCTTTCAGCCAATCATCATCCTTCACCATGTCGAAGGCGGCCACGTCCTTGCCCTGCACATTGACCGTGCAGTGGTGGACATCGGGGTACTGGGTGGACGAGTGATTTCCCCAAATGATCACGTTCTTTACGTTATCTGCGGGAATGCCACAGCGCATCGCCACCTGAAGGAACCACAGTGAACAGCAGCTTATTACGACTGAACCACAAATAGCACTTTAAGTGAAAGAGATGCATTTAAAGGGCCCATATCCTACATTTTTGTTGTACTTAATTTTTTTTTTTCCATTGCGGTCCATGTGATTTTAGGCACCGAAAACAGTCAGAATTCATGCCTACATGACCATTTCCAGCCTCTCTTTATATCTTAGATTTTAAAGGGGCTGTTTTTGTTACTGTGCATTTAAGACTAATATATGTCCAGATTAAATGTAAGATCCAGAAATTATGGATTTTCTATCTCTTTTTCAAAAGAATCTTAAGATTTTAATTAAAATTTAATTTAAAAAAACCTGTTTTTAATTTTGCTTTGTTTTAAGAAATTCTGGATCTTTTTAAGCAGAATCTTAAGACTCTTCTTTTAAGATGTGTTTTTTTTTTATGAATTTTGTTTCTGTAATGCGCCCTTATTATTATGTAACTGATCTCTGTTCTAATTGGCTGCCTTGTATTGCGTCTCACTCAGAAAGCAGCCAGGACTGAAACAGACCTGCAATAGGCTGAATGGGTAAAAGTAAGTCAATGTGCTGGTTTTTGTGACATCGCAAAGACAGTGAATTTATAACAGGCTGTTTTTACAGCTTAGTTTCCATATATAGAATGTATGGACTGGACAGTGAACAGTATGTTTTAAAACAATGTTAATGTCCTGCATTAAACTCCTACTTCAGTTTTTCATGATATGAGCCCTTTAAAGAAAGTTTATTTACCTAATTATTACTGGCCTTCTTTTAGTGCAATCTATGAGCATACAGTAGGAAAAAAACGGCCAAATACAGAATAACAAAATAACAAGAAATATAAGAGACTAACAAGAAAAGTCTTGCATTTATAGTGCTAATCAATGGTCAGCCTGTATTCCATAGGAAAGTAAAACTGTGGCGAGGTGTGCGAGTGCTGACCTGTGAGCGAGCGCGGTTGTGGTCCAGGCGGGTCAGGCAGGAGAAGTTCTCTTTGGGGATGGAGGGGGCTGACTTAGCCGCGATCAGACAGTTTGTATTAGCTGGGTTACCAACCACTAGAACCTGCACACAAACAGGGACAAACAGAGTCAGAATTTATTCAAATTAAGTTTATCATGAAATTAAAAGATACGTTCATTAAAACTCAACCCACAGTCATATACACCTCTTTCACTTTGCTGAATTAATTCTCACTCGTAGCTCATTGAAACAGGCAGAGAAGGAAACAAACGTCTAAACTGCCTCATCTATAGCTATTCAGGGGCGGCGTCCTTCAGAGGCTGCATTTGAAGTCTGATTGCGTCACAGCGGTGTGACTACGCCGTCCCATTTCAAAGCCTTCTTTATATGCAGCTGAGAAATGTGTCCTTCTTTTCTGTGGCAACAAGGGATCCAACAGGTGGATCCCTTCGCCAGCCAACACATCCCAAGGTTCACTGCATGCCGGCGATATTTTACTATGATTTGAATTTGATGCAAAGTTATTTTCATACACACTTCTCTGCATTTATCATTTATTAACATTAAAACAAAGGTTGTTTAGTTGTTAGAGGGCAGAGTCAATACAGATTTGAAAGGGATGTAAACATAATGAATTATGTAAATAATAATCAAAGGGCCCATATTCTACATTTCTCTTGTATTTTATTTTTTCCTGCCTGTGTGGTTTTATGCACCAAGTTCAGTCAGAATCCATTTAATATGACATTTTTCCAGCCTCTCTTTATCCCATAGAATTAAACAGGCTGTTTTTGTTACCATGTCTTTAAGACCGATATGATATAAATGAGCTCTGTTCTGATTGGCTGCTCTGTATTGTGCCTCATTCAAAAAGCAGTCCAAATAATTTGGAATAATAAATAAATTTCAGAGCAAATGGGAGGGGCTAAACTGCTACAGGCTGAATATATCGCCGTTGTGGGAAGAAAACCTCGTATCTCCATTTTTGATGCTTTTAGGTTTTTGACAAATTTGAAAATACCTGTTGTCCTTTACATTGTATGTAAATTTCATGATGAATGGACTAAAAGAAATGACCCAAAATGACCCGAAAAGTCTGGTTCCATTGACTTACATTAAAAGTAAAGCAAGTTTTTTTCCTTCTCCAACAGCGACATGTAAACGTGTTGGTTCTCATGACATCACAAAAACAGTGAATTCAAAATAAACTGTTTTTTTGCAGCCTAGTTTCCATTTATGGAGCAAACAGCACATTTTGAAAATTTAAAAATACTTTTTTTAAAAATATGTATATTTCTTCAAACTCATTTACGTTAAAAAAGGAGGGAAATTCATATTCCATTATATGGGCCCTTTAATGATATGCCTGTGTAATTACATATTAATAATGTATTCTGCATGTAAATTACACAATGCAAATGTATAGCCAACCGTAAACTTGGGTTACCTTGACAGTTTTCTTTGCGTACTTGTCCAGCGCGGCACCCTGAGATTTAAAGATGGCGACGTTGGCCTTCAGCAGGTCCTTCCTCTCCATCCCCTCTTTCCTGGGCATGGAGCCCACCAGGATGGCTGCATCAAGGTCCTTAAAAGCCACTTCCTCTTTATCCGTGGGAATGACCTCTATGCAAAACACACAGATACATGCTCAAACACCCGGCATTGACCTGCAGGAGTGACCACTACAGTACAAATATCTGCACTAAGCTGAAACATAAACTGTCCATTATCAGGTTTGATCTAGAATTTAATGCTTAAAGCGAAAGTCCGACAAAGAAATTTAATTTTGCACAGTTTCCCACCTTAACACACTTGTATTTGACATGTTTGGTGTCTCAAGTTTCTTTTAGCACTGGAGCTATGAGGCTAACATAGATAGCACGTAATGGAAGCTTATACCCCACCAATTAGCACTGTGCTAACGCCTAAATCATCCAAAACTGCCTCAGACTTTATTAACCTGTTATATGTTCTCATCCTTTTGATTTAGCTATGCAGTTTGTGTGATGCTAAATGGTGTACATAAGCTTCCATTACTTATTAGCAACATTAGCCTCGTAGCTCCTGTGAAATACTAAAAACTTCTTACTTGGCTGGTCGACTACATTTGGGGTAAACAAGGAAAAAGTGTGCAAATTTTTTGAAAGTATCACTTTAAAGGGCTTCTTTAAAAAATAAAGGTATTTAAAGTAAAGCATAAACCTTGTTGAAGTCCATTTATGGAAACTATGCTGCAAAAAAAAACAGCATGTTTTGAATTCACTGTTTTAGTGATGTCACAAGAACCAACACATTTACATATATCCACCTATTTAGCCTACAACAGTTAAGCCCCGCCCATTCACACTGAAGTTCCAAGCAGTGTTTCTGCTCTGAGTGCTTTTAGAATGAGCCAATCAGAACAAAGCTAATTTACATTACTGTCTTAAAGGCACAGTAACAACAGCCTGTTTAATTGTGAGGAATAAAGAGCGACTGGACAGTGGTCATGCAAATATGAGTTATACAAAACTACACAAATGTTACAAGAGGACTTCAAGGCGAAAAATACATGGAAAAATGTGGATATTGGCCCTTTAATGCAACCATTAACATTAATCAGTATTCTGGTTTCAAGTAGTGCTCGTACAGGCGGTCAGTTGCATCTCTGCAATCTCCCTGCCCTCGCTTACGCCTTACTGTTTATACAGAGTGAGCGCAGGGGCCTCTTGCAGCAGGGACGGACACAAAGACGGTACGAGAAGCTACATACCGCTCACAATGGTGTTTACAGAGCAGCCCATCTCTGAGGGTCAGCCACAGGTCAGTGACATTACTTTTACCATTTCATTCTCAGATATGGCTGTTACTTTCTTTAATATAGTGGTAAATAATGGTGTGGCAGCCTGAAGCCATCAGAGGGTGTAAATCTGTGACCTCAACAACAATGTGATTGAATTACAAAATGATTTGTATGCATTAATGTAAAATCTCAAACTTCATCATGATTATTTTTTATTGTTTCAGAATTAAATAAAGCTTTTATTAAACAGAATTAATTAAAAAAATACACTGAATTCACAGATTATATAAATGACAAAAAACAATCCGCCAAGCTGTTGTGGATTTTGACCTTTAAAAATATCCTGAGAACAGTGTGTTAGCAAAACATATACCATTACAATGTTATTAATATTAATATTATTAATATTATAAAGCAATTCTAACACTGAAGGCAGTTGAATCGCCACCTTCAGGTGCATTTTTGCACATGCAGTGCAGAAGCTGAAGGCAGTACAGTGAACAGAGCGTGTCTGTGTATCCATGTGTGACTGTGTTGTTTGTGTGCTTATGCATGCAAGATAATGTGTGCATGTGTGTGCAGGACGCTGTAGCAGTTTACCTTTCAGCAGGGGGAGGGCACAGTCCTGCAGCTCCATGACGACACCTTCCAGCACCGGCAGCATGGGAGGGATGTCCAGCAGGATGAGGGCGAGAGGCTGAAAAAAAGAAGAAATAGAATAAATAAGAAGGCGTGTGAAAAAATATACAAAAATCAGGCAGAGAGGAGGGCGACTCCTGTTCTGTTGAGGGCTTTACCGATAACGATATAAAACTTCTGTGACCGATACAGATTTTAAAGGGGAATTCCACAGAATTTTCAGAATTTCAACATAATTCAATACTCGTTTCATATGAAATGCTCCATTCTAGAAAACTTATTGGTTCAGTTTTTTTTGCAGTGGTGGTGAAGGGAACCAGACGTCCACAACACAAATATAGCCCTTATGTTTACAATCCAAAACCACCAGTGAAGCTACACGTGTCTTCTGAGTTTATATGGAACGTTGTTGATGGTAAAACAGTGATAAAAAAATTTGTAAGTTTTCTTTGGGGACTGTTTTGCCTCACAACACCCTGCATGTACCTCTCTGCCAATACTTTATCTCAAAACTATATTATATTTCCGATTTGAACTGTAACCAGTAATTAATGTTAAACAGTGTTTTTCTGATTTAACTCACAGTTTTGGTATAAATACTGCAGTACTGGGGAGGAGCTACCCAGAATTCCTTGGGGTTTTGGCCTCTATTAATTAGCTCTGTAGTCCTGGCTTTGCCACAAACAAAAACTATTTATAAACATGTTATCAGCAATATTTTTGCCGATACTGATAAAAGTGCAGGTCATCAGTCTGGGCCAATATTACCGTTCAAGTGATGTATCAGTCGGGCTTTAAAAATCCTGTTAGTAACAGCTACTGTTATTCAAATATGAGGATAATTACTCGATCAGGTATTCAAATGAGGGCTGTGTGGCTGTAAGCATAAATATAATGTTGTCGCTTCTGTGCTTTTCTTTTTTTTTATTCCTAATCCAAACATTTTCTCATTGAATATTCAAATACTATTCATTTAAAAATGCAGATATTTGAAAAAAAAACATGTTGAAAAGTCCATGACTATAATATGCAGTGCAAAACTGTAAGCCTAAAATGCTGTGAACGTCCCCAGCAGCTCGTAATGAGAGGAGACAGAATATCGCATAAGCTCAAACCGTGCTTACCTGATCTCTGCCAAACACATCTCCCTTCGCGATGCTGTACAGCAGGGAGTAGGCAATCTGCCCAGCAGCACCGGTCACCAGAACTCTGATAGTTTCAGCCTGTGGGTGAGAAAAATAAAGATTTATTGAGAAGGTTGTATATTAGTCATTAAAAAAATATAACAAGTCAAAAACAGTCAAACTAATGTCACAAGCTATAAATGAAAACAGCCAATTACCACAATTTAGTGTCATTTATATCAGTGGCTACCAGCTTCCATTCACTGATTTATTTATTTATTTATTTATTTATTTATTTAAAGTCTTCTCATATATTATGGTAAAATTTATATTTCACTATAGGGCTGGGTGATAAAACGATAACGATAATTATCGCGATATAACTTTTCCTCGATAGAGCGTTACGACATGTTCGATATAATACACCACTCTCACACCTCCACGTTTTAGCGAAAGCCCTGGTGGCGTTTTCTACTGCAAGGAAAGCGACACTACTCTGCTGTCGCCAGGAGAGGGCGCACTTCCGAGTTTTTTTACATGATTAGAGAGGGAGGGGGCCACGAGTAAAATGAGTCTTTAGCAACGGCTGAAATGCGGAGTTACACATTCCCTGTTTGAGTGGAGCGACCGGCGATCTGTTCTCCTGTGACCGAGTGTGAGTGACGAGATCAGTGGAGTAACCATACTGACCTGCAGCGAACTCACCTCTTTCTGTACATCCTAACCAGCTTTAGCAGCGTTAAATCACAATCACAATCACAATCACAATCCTCACAACTACAGCGCTGTTACAGCGCTCGGACAGTCATATTTTAGTATGAGTGCATTCCCGAGCACCGAAAGTGAAAGAAAGAAGTGGGTTCATGTAAATTACAGCCCTGATTTAAACGAAAGTAAACTGAGGAAGCTGTGAGGCATTGGAGAGCGGGAGAGCGCTAGCTTTCCAGGCTAGTTGTTTTTAGCAGCTGGCTAACTTGAAGCAGCGCTCCGTCACTCACACAACACGGAGAACTGATGATACTGTAGATCAAACACGACACAAAAGCACCGCTTTCAGTTTAAACGGACCTAAAAGGAGGACTCTGTTTGTGTGGTGTTGATATTTTGATATATTACTATTACAAAAACAGCCATGCTTTTCCAGCTGGTAGAAACAGCTCACCAGACACTTTCTCCCACTCTGCCATGACAGATTTGTGAAATGTTCCACTGTTTGGTGAGTGTCTGTCGTGTTCCGACCATAAGGATAGTTTAAAACAGCAGTTAACCCCCCAGGACCAAAAATCAGCCTTCATACTTGAAAGAAATAATGATTTGACATTAATCGCAGTATGTATCGATATCGAACGATATAAATTTTGTTTATCGTGATAACATTTTTGGCCATATCACCCAACTCTATTTCACTATTAGATACTTTATTTTCACTTTCAACTTTTTTTTAAGCTTTCTCTTTTATTTGTATTTATATTTCATACTTATTTTATTTGTGTATTTTCTTAAATTAATGCATTCCGGTCTTTAAGCAGGAAGATACATACACTATGTATGAAGTTGGCAAATATGATTCAAGATTATATTTGAATCATATGTGCTATTATACTATACAAGGTTATACTGTTATGGTCATAATTTGATTGAAACAAGCCTCCATTCACTGTTAACCTGGGGTGGCTGATCAGGCCAAAATATAACGTCCTGATTCTTGAAGGCATTTTCACGATACATGATATGTATCACAATTTCATTTTTCTGTCTGATAAGTTGGAACAGAAAAGCACAGAACCAGTAGAGCCACATTTAACAAAAGTACAAAAAACTATGAGTAGTGATTTTTGTTTCATACACTTCATTGCACTAAATACAATTAAACAGGATTAATTATGCTCTCCTTGTGATGCAACACGCAGTCGTTCACTGTTATAGGCTTTTCCGAGCGGATTGTAGATTAACGTCTCACGATAATGATAAAGAATCATAGTGCCCACCACTATGTTAGCCACATTAGCACGTCTGGCCATGTTAATCCTATTATTTGGTTCCTAATTTCTTTTATTGGGTTCAGTTTGGTTCTGTTGTGTTGTGTGTTGGTTCAGCCTTTGCGCTGCTTCACTGATGATCACTCCTTTTACTTCAGAGCTTTTTCATTTAATTTTAAGAGGAGAACAGAACCTCGAACACTTCAGTTGTTATGCTTATAGATCAGTGTTTCCCAGCCCTGATCCTGCTCCCATAACGCCTGATCTAAATAATCAGCTCATTAACAACCCCTTACTGAGAAGAGATGGTTCTTCAAGGGTTCTTTCGTAAAGACTATGGCTCTCTATAGAACCCTGACCACTCAAAGAACCATATGCCTGCTTAAATGGTTCTTTGCATGGTGAATTGGTTGTTCAGATTGATGGAGAATGTATTGTATACAAGCTTAATGTCATGATAATAGCGAAACCCTTTTGGTGTGACCTAGAACCGTTTTGAAAATAGCTTAAATGGTTCTTTGCATGGTGAAATAGTTCTTCAGATTGGAGGAGAATGTGTTGCATATGGTTCTATGTAGCACCAAAATGTGTTCTGGTATTGCATACTAGCTTAATATCATAATAACAGCAGAACCCTTTTGGTGCTACCTAGAACCGTTCTCAAAAAAGCTAATGATTCTTTGCATGATGAAATGGTTCTTTAGATTGGAGGAGAATGTGTTGTATATGGTCCTATACATTCTACATAGCACTAAAACAGCGTTCTGCTATTGTTATGATATCAAGCTTGTATACAACAACAGAAACCATTTTGGTGCTCTATAGAACCATATAAAACACACTGTCCACCAAACTGAAGAACCATTTCACCATGCAAAGAACCATTTAAGCATGCAAATGGTTCTTTGAGTGTCTTGGGTGCTGAACAGAACCATTTTCTATACTAAAGAACCCTTGAAGAACCATCTTTTTTAAGGGTGAGGTTGTGTTAAAGCAGGGAAAACACTAAATAGCACAGGACGATGTGCCTCCAGGACACATCCAGCATCTGTAACAGCAAAGGGTTCCACTGCAGTTCTATAGAGAACTCAGTTATCCTTTTTTTGCAAGACTTATTTTTTACTTCTACTTTGGCCAAGTAACCACTCTTTCACAAAAGTCTGACTTTAGGCTCACACCACATTATGGGGCCGTCGAGGGATGGAGGTTAGGGAACCAGCCGTGTTTGAGGGGATTGAACTGAAAGGTCGCCGGTTCGATCCCCTGAGCCGACAGTACATGACTGAGGTGCCCTTGAGCAAGGCACCTAACCCCCAACTGCTGTGAATAGGGCTGCCTACCACTCTGGGCAAGTGTGCTCACTGCCCCCTAGTGTGTGTGCATTCACTAGTGTGTATGTGGTGTTTCACTGCATGGATGGGTTAAATTGGAGGTGAAATTTCCCCAGTGTGGGACAAATATGGTGTGTTTAATGAAGTAGAATTAGGATTTTAAAAATTATCACAACATATATTTAAAATATTTAAATAATTTTTTCAATACATGCTATGAAAAGTTTAGTTTTGCTGAGATTTGATAAATTGCAACAGTTAAAAAAAAAGCCATGTTTAAAAAATACAATAAAAAAACTATGAATATGGTAGTTTTCCTGTTACTGTTTACAGTTTAACATACTGCACTGCACTAAATCCAGTGAAACAGGCCTAATTGTGCTCCCACTTTTCTTTAAGCACTGACAATATACACAGTGTGCTCAGAAAATCACATGTGGCATCAATAACAATAAGTATCATCCTATTGCCCACCCCTAGGAGGAACACTAAAAACTCTGCAGTGCTGTGACGCAGACAAAGACTTATAGGTCAATTTAATCTCAGCACCTGGAACGGAAGAGAGCCCAAGGCTGATCCATGTGAAAATGTAAAAATAGAGCTCTGCCCTGCCCATGGCAGCCTGACATCTGAGTGACGTGGACAGTTACAGTGCAGGATTATTTATAGCCCGGCAGTGCAAAAGCTCCCATTCATTCAAACACGAATCCACTAAAATCTTTAGACTCAATTCAAAAAGACTGTTGGGCAGTAGAGACATGCTGGACAATAACTGGAGAAATCTCAACAATATCTATATCTGTCCTTCCAAGCAATGTCACAAACCACATTTAGAAAACAGGACGTGTGCAGGACAGCACTTTGACATTAAAGGGGAATGCCACCAACATTTCAAAATTTCTGAATAATTCAGACCTTGAGATGTAAACAAGAGTGATTCAGAGTGGTTCGGTGTGAAATGGTTCAGTTGTCTTTACAGTGGTGGTGATAGGAACCAGGGGGTCAACATGACACAAATAAAGACCTTTTATTTTACTGTCCAAAACCACTGAACTTCTGAGTTTTATATGGAATGTTGGTGATGGGAAAATATCTAAAAAAACTTAAATAATAAGTACTTTTGGGACTATTATGCCATAGAAGACTATATATACACACCCTTTTAAGAAACAGATTTTAGGCCCAAAATCTTCTCAAAGGTATCATAAAACAAGGTCTCAGACATCAGGCAGAGTATTTATAACTATTTCATGTAATAACTTTCTGTGAAGGAGCTTTTAGAGGTGGACGTCTGGTTCCTATCACCACCACTGTGAACAATTCTGTCTCGGTAAGTGTGTCCAGAACTGAGCATTTCACACCAAACCACTCTAAATGGCATTGTTTACATCTTAAGCATGTAATTATGTAGAATTTTTGAAAAATGAGTGGAGTTTCCCTTTAATGCATAATAATCATATGATATATAATATGTAATATACACTAAAGTATCATTTTTTACTCAGCAGTTTGCATTTCTGGCTTGTTATATTCAGACAGTTGCTTTGCTACAGCTACGTGATGCAACTTTGGTCCTCAATCTCAACAACCTCAACAGCCTCATATGCAGGCTGGTCTGTGACATAACTTGCTGTGAAATGTCCAGAGAAGTGCAGCAAACTGCATTAAACCCAATGCCTGCACTGGTCAGTTCTCATAGGCACGCTTGGAATTAATAATACAAACTGACTGTGCGTTATAATACCATTAATAAACAATTCTCAAAGCTGCAGTGGCTTAATAAAGCACGCAGATGAATACTTACCATGTTCTACTCTTTGTCCAGCTCTCTCTCCCTCGGCCTGTTTCGGAGGTCACCTCTATTTCTTACAGCGGGGCGGTCACGAGGCAGCGTCAGGCGTCAGGTGGCCGCTGCGCCTGCGCACGAGCAGCAAGGATTTCTGGGCCTTGTAGTTTAAAAGACACGATTTGGGGTTCATCGCGTCCGGGGTTTGAAATACGTTTCCCATGAGCTTCTGGTAGAAGGGCACGACTCAGAAATTGGGTTTTTTAAATATGTATAAAATAAATGATACAGGAAGCAGACATTACTCGTAAATTATGTAAAAAAGAAAGAAAAATCAAATAAAAATAGTGGTAAATTCGACGTTTGCCATAAACCCCTTCATGTCGGACGTAGTCAGAGATAGTTTTAGACACAGAGACCTCCCACTCTGATGTGTAGGCTCGGCGCTGTGTAGAGAGAGACAGAGAGTCCAAAATGAAGGAGTGAATGTGCTAAACGGCTAAGACATATTTTATATTTCAAACATATTTCTGATTCACGAGGCTGTAACGTGCTTTTATGTATAAAAATACATCAACATGTTATATCAAAACATTAACTAAAGCATGGTAATATCTTTTCGTTTTTGAATAGCAATGTTTTTGTGAGGGATGCTAGCATTGCTAGCCCAGCTAAACCCTGATGAAAAAAATCATAGAAACCTTTTAAAGTTTCTGTTGTCCTTTCCAAAAGCAAAATAAGGCACTGTTATTAGCCAGAAACATATTTAAAGGGGAACTCAAAATGTCTGCACAATTTAATGGTTAAGATGTAAACAGAATAATTCAGAGCGGTTCGTTCTAGAGAAGCTTACCGAGTCAGAATCGTTCACAGTGGTGGTGATAGGAACCAGACATCCACCTCTAAAAGCTCCCTCACAGAAAGTTACTACATGAAATGTATATGAATACACTGCCTGATGCCTGAAATATTGTTCACAAGGGTTTTGTGATAAAGTTTTAGTCTAAAACATATTTTAATCCATTTATTTTAATCCATTCATGGTGGAGGGATACATGGAGGGTGCTGTGAGGCAAAATAGTCCCCGAAGAAAACTTATTATTTAGATTTATCACTATTTTACCTTCATCTGCTTTCCATATAAAACCCAGAAGACACGTGTAGGATTTGGATAGTAAACAAAATGTCTATATTTGTGTTGAAGTCATGGTGACCCCAGGATCCTATCACCACCACTGTAAAGAAATCTGAGTCTGTAAGTTTCTGCACAAATGAACCACTTCACATCAAACCACTCTGAATCTGTTTATCTCAAGGACTGAATTATTCAGAATTTTCTAAAAATTGGTGGAATTCCCCTTTAAGCCAATACCATCAGGTGTTAATCCTAACAGTTCTGATTGTATTTTTTTTCAGCAGGAATATACTGCTATATAATAACGAAGAGGTATTGTATGTATTTATAATATGTTTGTACGCTTGTCCTTATTTTAGTATTAGCGTTATTAGCTAGAACCACATTTAACAAACGATTTTAGCCGCTTCCATTCATTTCTATTCATCTTAAGACTCTGTCTCTCGGGCGCCGCCTATCGCCTTTATAATGTATTGCAGTAATGTTTACTACAATGGGATGAATGCTGGTCAGCTTCTTATTTACCAGCTTCTTGTTCGAATTTTCCCGTTCCACCTTAAATAGTACAGCAGTTATTATTGTAACGCGTCAGGCGCCAGAATGTAACTGATGCACTATTTAAGGTGGAACGGGAAAATTCGAACAAGAAGCTGGCGAGTAGGAAGCCAACTTCAGGCTCGAATACATGAGACTCTCCGGTAAATAAAGAAAAAACAGACTGCCACGGAATCAGTAGAGGGACCCGGTTACAGTTGGTTCAAACTTTACCGTAAATTTTGGACTACAGGCTGCCGAACTGAGACAGTGTTGTTGTGAAGAGAGCGGGTTGCCAGGCAGCGGAGAAATCCTGATCCTGCAGTGATATGTCTGCTTTTTCCGAGTAGACGAACAGCAACAAATACAAGCTGGTTGGCTTCATATGAGCCGTAATGAGCGTCATCTGTTCCAGACTGTAACCCTTCGAGATTTCGACAGACTCGTCTACAGATTGTTCACAGACTGGGGTAAGTCAGTCAGTCACTATACATGCTGGATTCATTCACGTGTTTGCTGTGTTGCTTTCTTTCCTGACTCTTTTTAGCTGCTATTTTGTTTGGAACAGTTTGTTTCAAAGAACTTCTACTCAATCCTGGCCGCGCATGTCATGCAATCGTAGTTTCTTGTGCGGTGAAACTTTTGCGTTTGAACGCAGAAAAATCTGAACGTTTAAAGGGTAAACATTGGCATCTTTCGTCACTTGGGATTCTGTTTACTAGTTTTAAGGAGTTTATAAACAGAGGAAACCTGTTTTAATATTACTGCACCATTTGATATCACTGTACCACCAGCCTGTGTGGAAATACCAACCCCACTCACTGGCCACTTTATTAAAAACACCTACTTTGTACTTCCACTAACTGGCCACTTTATTTAAAACACCCACCTTATGCTTCCGCTAACTGGCCACTTTATTTGAAACACCTACACTGTGCTTCCACTAACTGGCCACTTTATTAGAAACACCTACGTTGTACTTCCACTAACTGGCCACTTTATTAGAAACACCCACCTTGAACTTCCACTCACTGGTCACTTTATTAGAAAAAATCTGCCTTGTACTTCACTATGTAGGTGTACAGTTACAGACCATCTGTTGCTACACAGTTAGTCATACCCCCCTCTACCTCATTCATCCATGGTCAGTTTCTGACCACAGGACAAGAGTGACTCTGTGAAACTGGCCACTGATGAAGCAATAGAAGGGCACAAACTGTGGATCAACAGATAAGCTACAGTCTTTAGCTGTACAACAGCAAGGAAGGGGTTTCTAAGTGGACGGTGGACACTGTATTATTGTGTTTGCTGAAGGCGGTGATATTTACTCTACTTCCATGTAAGTCCAATAAATTGAATGTTTTTTGCAGTACTAATAGTGTCTGTCATTGTGTCTGTCATTGTGTTTGCTGCAAGCCAATTGTTGGGAAGGTGATTTTAGTCAGATTGTAATGTAATGTTAACACAGAATAAAGACTGAGAACACATTCAGACAGAGCATTTTGTTCTGTGTTAATATATTACTATATTACATTACCGTAATAGCAAAAGTGTCTCGACTGTTTAAATTTCATATTCATCAGAATAGCTAAATTGCAGCCTCCTTTCATTGAAGTGTGTATCTGCTATGGCATTGCAAGCCTTTATTAAAACAAGCTGTAAACCATGAAAGACTGTCTACAACAGTCAGTTCTGGTGACACAGTCTGATTAGTTGAGAAGTGTCCTAACTGATCACAAATGCTTTCATCTTTACGCAGAATGATACGAAAAATTTTTGTTGTTATCACAAATAATAGCTTTTTTTTGTTTTTGTTTACGTGACTAAATCATGCAAGTCATGCAAAAAGAGCTCAGATTTGCCCGTCTTTAATGACATACGAGCTGCTCTGCATCTGATTCATGAAACTTTCGTACGACGAGGAAACAAGATTTGAGCATAAATGATGATTCAGCTTCAGTGCATGAAATCAAGCGCCAGCACCTCATTTACATATTTACATGAAGCACAGCCTAATCCGGACAGATGTTTCAATAGGGAGCCAAAAAGGGTCAGTATACAGTGTCTCCTGAACTTGATTGGACAGATACGCCAAAGATCAAAATGATGAATTACAAAACTGTCGGTAAAGTTCATTTGATTAGTTCATTGATCGTTCGTACACAGCTTTAATGAACAGGGCTAATATGTTCAACGAAATTTAATGATAAACATTTTTAAAATATGTTCAGTTTGTCTTTTCAAGCAACATTACGGTAAATAATTTAGTGAATCTGTTTAAGCATCGGCCCCATTGACTGTAGGTCACTGTGTGATGCCACAGCCATGTGTATCTGGGAGTCCAAGAGATCATAACTGTTCTCTCTGTCTTTAGCTGAGTAGGATGGTCCTCCCTCTTCCCCCCATCACTCAGCGCAGTGCAAGCCAGTGAGGACGTCTTTTAGCTGATGTAACTGAATTAGTAGTTAGTGATCTCCTCCAAGCGTGTTGAGTTGTCCAATGATATATTAACTGTAGTTTAAAAAGATGTGGTGGAACTCCAAGTGTCTTAGGGGAAGCATGTGCGAACCTTCACCCTCACGGCGTGGTAGCATTGTGTGGGGAAAAACTGGTCAATGAACAGCAAAATAGTTTTAATAATTGGTGCATTAATACAGAATTCAGCTAATATGTGTGATCATATGCCTGTACAGATAATTTTACCCTGGCTTTGAATTTGGCTCAGTAAATCAGATTTTAGAACCAGAACTACCTGTTTTATAAAAGTTCGCCTGCTTTTTTCCCCTTCTGAGGTATGTTTTTGGATTATTATTTTACACAGAGCAGTTCTGCACAACTTTTAAAGGGCCCGTATCATGGAAAACATGGAAAAGTTACCTCACTATTTTTGAAAAGTTTAATGTAGCAAACGTCCGTTGTTAAACTTTCAAAACGTAGCATTCGCTCCCTCGTCCATTCCATCCATATATGGAAACTAAGACTGTTTTGAATTCACAGTTTTTGTGATGTCACAAAGCATCTCATTTACATACCTCTGCCTATTCAATCAGCAGTTGGCCCCACCCATTAACGCTGACGTAATAAAGAGTGTTTCAACCCGGATTGCTTTTTATTTGAGGCACAATACGAGGCAGCCAATCAAAACAGAGCTTCTGTACATATACCAGGCTTAAAGACTCCGTATGAAAGGGCAATACATTCCTTAAGTTCTGGAGTTAACATCTCATGGAGGCAGGAGAAGCCTAGACATGAATAAGAATAGCTCCATAGCTGGATTGAAGTCCCTGTAGTTACTGAATAATAAGCCTTAGTATGTAATAAATCTGGGATTGTAAGGGGTTAATGGTCTACGTGAATGTAGGACTTGTTGCAGTAAGTGATACTGAACAGAAATGGGATATTTAGATGTTTCATATATGTAACTGACATCACAAAGTTTGATTATTAAAAGAATAGTTCCAGTAAATTTACACAATTTTCCTCTCATGCCAGATGTAGTCAGTCAAGACGTTTGGTTGGAGAAAAGTACAGGTAAAATTCAGGCTTCAAGATGGCTGCTACTCCTGTTTTTAGCTAATGATTGACTAAATAGAATTTATGCTAATATACTTTATTCTTTATTTATAGATAACAGTGTCATATAGTGTTAGAAACCACATAATCACATCTTTTAGAGATTGCTGAACAGCTCCGCACAGTTTGAAGAGAGTATATGATTTAGGCCTGCATTTAGCACATTGTCTTCTTTGGCTGATTGACTACATTTGGAGTAATGGGGGAAACGGTCCATTTATATATATATATATATATATATATATATACTTGACCAAACTTTCTTTTAAGTGCATCAGGTCACGTTATGCTATGGCTATCCTCGGATCTGTTATGTAGTTGGTTTTCCTGCTTTAGAGATGTTGACTGAAGGTTTTCCCTGTGGGGTAAACGCTCTGTAGGGGTATAGAACTGCAGTAGTTGTTGAGTGCTATAGAAACTTTAGTATGGAGAGGGAGAGAGAGAGAGAGAGAGAGAGAGAGAGAGAGAAAGACAGACAGCTGATCCCTGTGCTGCATTTTGTATGAGGTCATTACAGGCTCATTACAAACAGACACACAAAGGAGCAGTGGATTGTGTTGCACCTCCGAACCCCCCAGCACTTACCGAGAGAGATAAAGGACAATAAACTTAAAGTAAAGTGGCCAGATAGGGATGTTTTTTTTTTCAGTCTGGGCATGTATTAGTTATCAAGTAATCTAACAACTATTGTGATTAATTGAGTAATCAGAGTTTTTTAAATAAGACCACACAGCAAAAATGGGCTTAGCTGAACAATTTATACTATGCTGAATATCATCATCTAAACCGCTTATCCTTCTGGGTTGCGGTGGGGTACGCTGAATAGGGGTAGGCGAAAAAAAAACATTACAATAATTTGTGAAAATATGTCACTATTTATTTTTTTCTCTAAAGAAAAGAAAAAAGTAGCAAGAACAGTGTGATGAGTCTACTCAGGCTTTAGCAGAGCGCAGTAACACTGAGATTAATAACTGATCACATTGATTTATCAGTCTACTCAGGCTTTAACAGAGCTCAGTAACACAGATTAATAACCGATCATCACATTGATTTATCAGTCTACTCAGGCTTTAACAGAGCTCAGTAACACAGATTAATAACTGATCATCACATTGATTTATTAGTCTACTCAGGCTTTAGCAGAGCTCAGTAACACAGATTAATAACTGATCATCACATTGATTTATTAGTCTACTCAGGCTTTAGCAGAGCTCAGTAACACATATTAATAACTGATCACATTGATTTATTAGTCTACTCAGGCTTTAGCAGAGCTTAGTAACACTGAGATTAATAACCGATCATCACATTGATTTATCAGTCTACTCAGGCTTTAGCAGAGCTCAGTAACACATATTAATAACTGATCACATTGATTTATTAGTCTACTCAGGCTTTAGCAGAGCTCAGTAACACATATTAATAACTGATCTTCATATTGATTTATCAGTCAACTCAGGCTTTAGCAGGAACTTGAGTGTTTGTAAAGAGCTGTTAATTGAGGTCCTCTTTAGAATTCGTCCAGTGAGCATGTCTATTACACACTGTGTACTGATTTTAAAATAGTTAATAAACATTGATGCTGTTTCTTTTGGATATTGTAATTATAAAAAGGATTCTATATAGCAAGAAAAAAGGGTTCTGTTATTACGATACAAGCTTGTAACAATAGCAGAACCCTTTACAGAGCTTTATAGAACTCTTTAAAAAGATTCTATATAGAACCGTTTACAGTACATTGTCCACCAATCTGAAGAACCATTTCACTATGCAAAGAACGCTTTAATCATGCAAAGGGTTCTTTGAGTGTTTATGGTTCTATATACAACCAGTTTCTTTGCTAATAAACCCTTGCAGAACCATCTTTTTATGTGTGATAGGCTTAATATGTTTCCAG